AGAGGAGGAGTGTGTGTGTGTGGTGGGGGGGGGGGAAGAGGGGGACGACACATTCGACAAACGGCAATCGAAAACACTCAGAAGCAAGCAAAAGAAAAACGGAAAAAATAAGCCAAAGGAAGAACGGCGGACCGCACATCGGCCACGGGGGCACATGGACCTCGGTGGGACACGCAACGCGCGTGGCGCGGGGGAGCGGGAGCGGCGCCGGCCCAGCGGTGCCCCCAAGCCTCCGTGGAGTCAAACACGCGAGGGCTGCCGAGGGAGCAGCGGCAGTAGAAGAAGAGGACGGTCCAACCAACCAGCCAAAGAAGTAAAAAGACAAGAACAAAAACGAGAGATATACTTATACCAAGCCGATGATCATTGGCAGCAGCAGCAGCAGCAGCAGCAGCAGCAGTGGTGGTGGCGGTGGAGTAACACGGAAAGTGAGGACGAAAAGAAAGAGGAATCCCTAACGCATGCCGAGAGATACGGCGGAGGCCATCAGTACACGTGCCCGCACCGCGTCGATGAATCCCGGTAAACCGCCGCCTGCGGCATCCACTCGGCAACGCACACAGAGCCGGCGCGAGCAAAGCGAACGACGCAAAGCGGTTGTCCGCACCACGACTGACGCACATAAAATGGAAGAGGAAGAAGTAAAAATAAAACACTTGAGCAATTGAAGCACGCAACGGGGCAGTAAAAAAAAAGCCCGTAAAGAAGCGCAAACCACACAACAACAACCAAATCACAAGAGGAGAGACTCGTATGGAGACAACCGCACCACGCACACACAGGGAAACACACACGTAGATGCACACACATGCATCCTCGCCCGTAATTAGGGAAGGTGAGGAGGAAAGAAGGGAGTAGGGTAAACGGAGTATAAAAAAAAATAACGGCAACAAAAAACAACACCAAATGCGAAGGAATAAACCAAATGTGTATACATGCACACAACCAAATACCCCACTTTCTCCCTCCAATGGATCCGAGGGTTGATGGATCATGGAGCATGCACGAAAGGTGCCACAGGCAAAAACCCCTTTCCGTAGCGGAAGAAGCTCTTATGCGTCGTATTACAGACGAAACCAGTGCACCTTTCTCTTCCTTTGTATTTTTTTTAAAAATTATATCACCCCTACTTGTCGCTGCTCTCGCCTCCATTCGGATTCTGATGCCACGCGGCAGAAAAAAAAACAACAACAACAGCAGCAACAACACAAAACATCTGAGAAGTTGCATTTACTTCACTGCTCGTTTTCCTTACTTCCTTGTGATTTCTCATTGGTCTTTTAGCATCTGTTTCATTGGGTTGGCTTGCTTTGCTTTTGACTCGCGTTGGTGGACCAAGTTCGTCAACCGCCCTCGTCACCAGGGCGGCGCCGTCAATGGCGGAGAAAGCCTGAGCCAACAACAACAACAACAGCAAAGACTACGCTTCCGGGTGAAACAGCTGATGATGGGTCTCCATGCCGTGCGACAGCACCCGGCAGCAGTGGGGGCATCTCGACAAGCCGAATTCCTCGACCAGCCGCCTTGCCGAGCACATCACCTCGTAGTCGGAGAGGTTGCACTTCCAGGATAGCCCATCTTGGGTCGCACCCTCCGCCTCCGCTCCAGGTGCGGAAGGGAAGTGGGCCTGCTCCTCCATGTGCTCCTGCAGTTCACCATGCGTAAGAAATAGACGAGAACAGGTCTCCACTGGACACTGAAACACCAGGACGAGATCCTCCTCTTGGGCTGAATCACCAACTTGCCGCTGTGAAGCCCCCTGGAGCAGTGACAACATTTCCGGCTCACTCGTGTCCAAGAGAACCTCAAACTCCTCCGGTGAGAACCGATGGGCGCCGGCGGCGTGTGACGTATTTCCAGAACGAGCACCAATTGGGTCCAGCATGCATTGACACACACAATTCTTCTCTATGTGGTTCTCCATGGCGGCCCACGAGGTAAAAACCGAGACGCAGATAGGACATTGGTAGAGAACGGCATACGGTTTTTTCTGCACAGTCCATGGTGGTATTTTTGGCCAACGCACCAGATACGGGGCAGGGGAAAACCCGGGAACTTCAATCACGTCATCTTCTTTGAGCAGCAACCGCTTCAGCCTGTGCGCCGCCAACTCAGCAAGGGAACCATGCATGTTACACGTGCGACAAACGGCTACGTCGGGGATCGCAGTCACAGCGTGTTCCATACGTAAATGAAGTGCAAGCTGCAGGGGGCAAAGAAAGGTTACGCGACACACGCAACGATACTGTGGGTGGGTAAACACAGGAGGGTGATCCAAGCGGTAGTCACTACGCGTGTAAAAAGTACCAAAAAATCCGACGTGCCCTGTTGCGGCTTCATGTCGATACGGGTGTGTGGGCCCGTAACACCGCAGTTGCTCTCCGCACGTCACACACCTCGCGGAAAAGTGTGCGGAGGCGTTTAAGTGTGCAGTAAGCCTAGACCATGTTGAAAAACCATTTAGGCACTCCGGACAGCGCAAGATCGGACACTCACTCGAATTTGTCTCGTTTTCTCCCCCTCCGTTGCCACACCGGCGACCTTCCTGGTTCTGCTGCCCAACCTCTCCACTCACGCGCGTTGCCGGCCTCGCCATGAGGGGGGAGTTGCGGTGTTGGCTGTAGATGCGGATGCTTGCTTGCGTGGAGACTTTGTTCCGCTGCGCCGTGAAGCGACAGAAGTGTGGCGCTGCGTCGGTGGCCGGTGAGAGAACGCCACCCGTCAAACCGCGACTAACCGAGTCAGGGGGGAGGCAAAAAAAAAAAAAGAATGGAAGTTCGACTTCCAGCGGCATATGATTACGTGGCGACACGCATTCAGGGATAGAAAAGAGAGAGAGAGAGAGAGAGAAACCGTGCAAAGGAACTGGACATATAGATGTTTTGTTGCTCCCTCGACGTTTGTTGACCTTCCTGGTTGCATTGAAGCAAACACACCTCTTTGATACGCGCCACTGCCCTACACTCCAGTCTCCTTCATTTCCCAAACGGGCCTAACAGTCACGCCTTAGTGCGGGGGCCGCCGCGCCCGAGTCGCACACGCAAGGGCAGTGAACACCGTCTCCAAGGTCAACTCTCACACACACACACAGAGGAAGGTAACGCACACGTACCAGCTTCCAAATGGGGTATAACAGATCCCACTGCAGTGAGGAAAACAATAAGCAAAATACACACACACTTTTTTCTTGACATTAGTTGGTTGAAAGACACCTCAGGCACACATTTGAAGAAAACAGACCGTACTCTCGTTTTCCACCATCTCCAGCTCCGTCTTCTACACCGCACCTATAGCCGGTGGGGAAATCCCTGCCTCGTAGTGTTCGTGGGACATATATTCGTTAATAATGTACCAGCGCACGGCTTCCCAAACAAGCGTCTTCAATTCTCTCGACATGCTGCACCTTGGAAAATGCCTTGCGACCGCCTCCCGCACGGCCGGCATATTCAAGGAGGGCAAAGGGGTGTCTGTCGAGCTAATATAGTTGATCACACTCTGAAATACCTCTGGGAATGTTGGCAAAACTTCAATGGGGGCGGTGGCCGTGAAATCCACAATGTACTGCTCATCTACGATGAGACGAGTGGCGTTGCTAATATTGCGTCTGGGTTTTCCATCTGGGTCGAGACTCCCTTTGGAGGAGTCAAACTCTACCACGAGGAGGCTCTCTCCTGTGGGCCATTCCTCCTTGTAGACGTTTACGTTCTCCTTTTTCCCCGGGCGACGCGCGCGTACTGGCGAGTCCGCCTTCCTATAAATCTGCACCTTCAAACTAATGCCGAGTCCCGAGAGAATGTCTCCAGTGAAGCCGACTATCTGGCCACACTTGCCCTCGACATTGAGACGCAACCGCACGACAGGCAACCTTGACAGATCCAACGTGATGCATTCGTCAAGCTCCACGACGTCAGACTGCGCCCCACGTGAATCCATCAGTCTTGGCAGCGAGACAGGCGGACTGAAATCCAACCTTCTCGCAACGGCGCTCGCAGGGGAAGCTTCATCCGTCACATTGGCCAGACTCCGTGGCGACAGCAGTAACGGCCATGTTCCACCCCCAACGGAGTGGAGTTTCATTTTTACACGAAAACCCGATGTGCCTAGCTGCGAATTCGCCTTGATGGAGGCGAGTTCGAACTTCGTCCCTGGCGCGTGCTCGCTGCTCATTTTTGGCCCCTCCGACAAGTCAATCGCCAAAATCAGTAACCTTCGATCCACGGCCCACTTGGTGTTGGGGCCCGCATTGGTCAATTCCTTCAGCGCCCCTTCCAGTTCCAGAAACTTTGCGTCCTTCATTTCGGAGAAGGAGATCACGTTAAGGTCTAGCGTCACCGGAAGGTCTTCAATGGGGGCGCCGCGGGCTATCGCCACCCTGTGACTGTCTCGCTTAGAGTCCAAGTTGACGATCAGTCTCAGGGTTTTTGCGCCACGAAGAATATACTTTACATTGCTCGCACCGGGAACGTCTGCCACCTCGTCTATCTTCTCCGCATTGCCGCGCATGGGCCGTTGTCTGCTTCTAGTTGGTTGCCGCCGCCCCTCTTCCTCCCCCGCCCGCACCCTCTTCTTTTTTGTTTTTATTCCTGGTTTTGGGATTTTCGCCCCCCTCACGGCGATGTGGAAAGGCGGCGGCGAAAAGGCGAGCGCCGTACGCGGAGAGAGAGGCGCCAAGAAAAAGGAGAAGACACGGGGGAGAGGGCAAGAAACACGACGTGGAGGGGGCACAGCACAAGCTCAGCCGTGAGAGGCGCCTGCACGCGGATCCCCAACGTGCCAAAAGGAAGGAAGCAAAAGAGGGGAGGAGGAGGAGGGGGCCAGGCCTCCATCGAGGCAACCGCGCCCAGCAAATATTCGCAGCAGCGGCACACAGCGTGTGTGTGTGTGTGTGCGGAGCCGCGAGCACACAACGATTACGATCGGGCCGCCGTTTCGCTTTTTTTTTCTTTCGGGGACACATTGAAGCACGCGCCTTTTCGCTCTCTCTTACTATTTTCGCTGCCCCTCACAATCCAACGGGTTTTTTCTTTTTAATTCTTTTCCGCGCCATTACTTATTTAACGTTGCGCCGGAGGTACAGTACGACGGCGGCCTTGACGTGCTCCTTCACATCCCCCAGCTCCCCGTGCGCCGTTCCCAACGCCGAGGAAACCTCCTCCATCACAGTCTTCAAGGAAAGCGTCGCCACCTCCTCCCGCGATCGCCCAGCAAGCACTTCGTCCACAGCTGCCTTGACCACCATAGACGGGTCAGACGACGCCAAACTTCTCATGTGCTCCGCCACGGCCTCCTTCACCTCCTTCTGCAGGGCTCCCAGGTCATTTTCCTTCAGCCCCAACACCGCCCCCACCTCCTCCTTGACGACTCTGAAGGAGAGAGAGGAGAGCTCCTCCGCGCTTCGCCGCCCAAGCACCTTCTGCACCGCATCCTTGATCTCCGCCTGGTCCAACTGCGGCGCCGGCTTATACGCATTGAAGTTGATGGAGATTCCATTGCCAACGTCACACCAGCCGGCAGAGGTTGCCACCGTCATGGATTTCCCCGAGGTGGAGCGGCCGAAGCACTGAGTAGGGTCGAAGCGAAGGTCGAGATCAATACGACGACCATCGCCGCCGCCCTCGTCTTCCCCTTTCTCCATTGCCCCGCGTCGCAACAAAAGATTTTTCCATTTCGAAGACACGGCGGCAAATCCCTCTTCCATTTGCTCCGACTTCCCCTCCGTCTTCCGTTTTTTGTCGGTCCACTTTACCATCAGTGCGAGAGTGATCTCGCCGTTCAGCGTAAAGGGGGGCATGGCGACTGCCACCCCCGCCTTTGCCTTCTCACACTCACAGTGTACAGTGACCTGTGTCCCGCTTTCCACCGCAACGACAAACCCATCGCCCAGGTTCACCACATCTCCTACTGCGACGCCAGGCTTAGCAATCGTTGAAAGTTTTTCGATGCGAAGCTCCTTGCCAAGCGGCACATAGCAGTTCAACCCGCACATTATTCCTGTTTTCCCCACCGCCTTGTTTCCTCCGGAGGAAGCGAGCAACACGGACTTCCCCGTGGTGGCCACCTTGTCCCCAACATTGTTGAAGTCAATCACCATACAGAGCGTGTGTCCTTCGATGCGCCACTCGCAGTAGTTTCCCAGTGCTGTCATCTCATGCAGTTCTGATGTCGCATCCTCCGTCAAACGGCGCTTCTCCGCGCTCTTACAGTACAAATTGAGCCCCAGAAAGGCATTTGTGGCGCCAATCGGCTTGTTGCCACTGGAGCTGGCAATGATGAGACTCTTCCCGGAGGAGCTCACACCGAAGTCCCGCGAGAGGTCGCTGTAGATGAACAGCTTCGAACCCTCCACGGCAACGGAGATGTTCTTGCTCCCGGCCAGTGGCGTGGGCTCCGCAGCCGGCGATGCGGGCATGGCACACATGCGCGTGCCCCGCTGTCACGCGCGCGCGCGCTCTTTCTATTTCCCTCAACGGGCCACTACAACTTTGCTTTCGGTAAGCAACGCAGCGACACCGGGAAAGAGCAGAGCGGAGGCGAGCAGAGACGGAGAGAAGCGAAGCAAGTCAGAGGCAAAAGAGAACATCCCCAACTGCCGCCCACAAAGAAACAAAAGAGAGGGAGAGAGGGGGGGCGGAAAGACGGCTAATGGGGCCGGTGAAACCTTTGTACATGTCCATATCCATACGAATCCCCTCTACGCGAGGTGAAACCTACACAAATCACGGAAAATGCTAACGTGGGTTTACATTGGAAACTAAAGACAGCAACTCCTGAGACTTCGCCGCAATGCACGCCGCTAGTTGCGCCCCCAACGTGGACGCCTCGTTGGCTTCCGACACCTTCAGCGCGGCACAACTCAAAGTGGCCTCCGAGGGTCCCCGCACGGATGACTTCTGCGAAATACGCCCCGCTGCACCACAGGTGAGCGCAAACCGCGAGGGCAATGGCAGACATGTTTCACAATCCAACGCCTTCTTGCCTGAGCCCAGCATACCAATTGTAACATGAAGGTCTACCATGCCCAAAATGGCGTTGTCCACGCAAGCGCCTGTCGCTGTCGCTTTTCCTTCGGCAAGGAGCAACTTCGCCATGGAATAGATGGGGTACGTTTCATGAAAGCAAACGTCAATGATCTTCGCCAGGCTGTGTAAAGCTTTGAGAGCTAATTCTTTTGTGGCATGCCGCTCCACCAGCGCGGACCCACAGCACAGGGAGCGAATAAAGGCCTCGACTTCGCATGAATACATCAACGCCGCCGACAGTCCGCCCCTCCGGTGTGGAAAGGCAACTAAAACTGTCGGAAATTCCGTACAGGGCGTTAACACCTGCTGCACCGCGAGAACGGCAGACATGCAAAGATGGACAAAAGAGAGGCCAGTCTCCTGTGAAATGGGAAGCGGGAACGCGGGTGGGGCGGGTTTGGCCACCGCGTAGGGCCGCATAGGTTTACGGTGCTTCCACTGCAGCCACAAATCCAAGTGCTCCACACCCGGAGGCAGCCCTCCGTCGATGGTAGAAGCTTTCCCCGCGCCGAAGGATTCATCCCCGCTTTTGCTCAACCCGTCAGACGCGGCGTCCCGGGAGAAGACCCGCGTGAGGAAGTCCATAAGATCCTCGCCGTGGACCAAGATGGAGTGTCCACGCACCGCCAGCACGCCCGTCTCCTCCTGCTCCTCAAGCACAAGGGCACTTCTGTACCATCGAGCCGACGCCGCCTTGTTGTCCAGACTTTGGAGAACCACCGTGAATATCCCCGTGTCTATGTCGACAAGAGAAGCCGCGTTGGCAGGGTCAGAGTTCTTCAGGCGTTCCATGACCGCAGCACATTCCGTACGGTCAATCTTCGTCAGGCTACCCAGAAGCTGGTAGAATGCCAGCAGTTCCTCCCGGGCATCGGGCAACAGTTTCTGTTCAAAAAGTGCCCGTTCCGTGCGTTCTGCGTGTTCCCGAACAGCCTGCAGACGCCCTGCGAGAATCTCTGCATCAGCGACAAATCCATCCTCATCCAGTACATCCACGCGATAATAGTAGAGACCGCAACAAACCGTAATGTGGCGGCTGTTGTAGTTGACCGAGACCAGCCCCTTCACAGAAGCCTTTTCATTTCGCACGACGTGGAAGAGGAGGTGTTGCAACTGCCACTGGCTATTGTTGGAGGCAGCAGCGAAAACCCGCAGGATCCGTTGTATAGTCTCGGCCGTCCGCACACACCTCTGGACCCCTTCGTCAGCTGGGAGGGCGGCGCTTGAGGAGCTTAGCGGCCGAGGCCCCATAAAGCGAAATGCAGTAAATGGGTACGCCACCGCACTGTCGCAGGATTTTGCCACCGTGTCGAGCCAGTTAAGCCGAAAAGCAGCGGAATGCAACAAATCCATGGCGTTCGTGAAAACCGTCTCGAGACTAAAGTCTGGAGCACGACGAAGAAGTCTCTGGGAATCATTGACCATTGTCACAATGTCAGTCAACAAAGTTTCGGGAACCTCGGGCGAGCTCGCCCTGGCACGGAGTTCTCCCTCCTGCAGAGCCCCATGTGGTCGCGTGCAATTCAGGTTAACAAGCCGGCTGTGCGCAGGACGAAAAGCAACTTCTTTGCAACGAAGACTTAGCTTGCGAACGACAGGCAGCAGCATGTCAGCAGGGAGAGAAATTGCGGCCCCATCCTCATCTGTAGGTGAAACAGTTGGATGTGACCCCCTCGAAGACTTCTTCCGTCCCGACATCAATGATTCGTGTACCTAATCCTCGTGTGTGTGTGTGTGTGTGTGTCAGGTGCCTGTGCGCCAAAAAAAAGCACCAGCAACGACAAATAAGAAGGAAAAGTAACGTAAGTTATTTTCCCAAAGAAAGAGAGAGAAGAGAAGAGCAAATTAGATACGTAAAAAACAGGTAATAAGTGACAATAGCAGCGTCATGAGAGAAAGAAGGTGGAAGAAACAGAACTCTTGTAGGTCAATGCGAATAAGTGCTTCAATGTTTATGTATAAGACTACGTCCATATCTTTCTTTATATGCATGCACTATTTAAAGCAGTGGCAATACATGGTCGAGGAGACACATGATAAGTATCAACTACTCATAAGTGTTTTGGGAATCGGGGGGAAATCCCCCTCCCTTTCCCACGGAGGGTCAACGAGCATTTTAAGCTCCTCGTAGCCCTTCTGTTTGCTGATGGTCAGCACGGCTGTCATGGCCGTCATCGGTAGCACCTCCTCCACGACCTCCTCACCCGTCAAGGGATGGGGTCCCCAGTTAATGCGCAGGCCGTTTGGAGCCTTTGCCGCTTCCGCCTCAGCGGGCCGCCTTTTATTCTCCTTCTTCGTGCCGCCATCCCCCGCGGCGTCGTCCACGGATTTAGCGCGTTTGAAGCGCTGCTCCTTGTCGTTCAAACTGACCTGCGCCTCCTGCGCCACCTCCATCGCGAAGAGGCTGAAAATGTTTCGCTTTGCCACGACCCGCACCACCACTGCCCGCACGCGTGGGGTGAAGCGGGGCCCTCCCGCGCTGCCGCCCCCACCCATCACGCGCCTGAGAGCCTTGAGGTAGAAACAAAAAAATACGCCCAGCGAGGCGTCGCTCACCTGACGGGCCTTTAGTTTCTTTGCGTTGGCCCTTGCCACAATGTCCTCCACCTCGCTGACGGGGTAAAAGTAGTCGCGGGTGGAGAGTTGGCTGACGTCGACGCCGCCAGGTTGCACCGCCCGGCGACGGCCGCCCTTCCCAGCCCGGCTCCCCTTCACGATAGCCTCGAGCTCCAGGGCGCACAGCAACTGGCGGTGGGCAATAATGTCGCAGTAGCGACGAATGGGGGACGTAAAGTGTGTGTACCACGGCATCGCAAGCGCATAATGGCCCCTGCACGCCTCCATCTCCTCGCAGCCGTTCACAAAGTATTCCGCCTGCCGCAACACATACTTCAACGCAACACACAGGCCGTCGTAGAACGCAGCGTTCTTCGCGCTCTCAAGCAGTTCCTGCAGCGACTTGCTCGAACCGCCCCGCATCTCCAGGCCGAGAGGGGCTAGTGCAGCCTTCAGAGCCAAGACCAGTTTGCGATCCGGCGGCTCGTGACGTCGCAGCAACGCCTGGTCTGGCATGTACTCCACAATCTTCTCCGCAACACGTGCATTGGCCAGCAGCATGAACTCCTCCACCAGCCAATTGGCCTCGATCTGTCGCGAGATGCCAAAGCCCTGAGGAAAGGTAGGATTCGCGATGTCCTCAAATTGGTAGCAAACCTTCATGTTTCCAATGGTCAGGCGGCCGCGGCCCAGGCTGGCCATCCGCAGCTTTGACGCCAGCTCAAACAGTGTTCGGACGGAAACCTCAACGCGGTCCTGAAGTTGCTGCGAACGCGGCGCGTCACCGAAGTCAAGCGTGTCAAAGACAGTCGCGTCGCCGTCAAGAATACGCTGTGCGTCGTCGTACGTCAAACGGCAGCGGTTCCGAATGACGCTCCGACCGAACCACTCGGAGGTCACCTTGCCGTGGTGGTCAAGGTGAAATAGGCAGGAAAAGGCAAATTTGTCACCGCCAGTGTTCAGGCTGCAGTAGTCCTCACTCAGCCTGCGCGGCAGCATGGGGATCACCTTCTCCACCAGGTAGACGCTGGTGGAGCGCTCACGCGCCTCCTCGTCCAGTGCGGACCCGGCGGGAACGAAGTAGGAGACGTCGGCAATGTGCACCCCCACACGATACCCGCCAGGCGTACGGGTGATGCTCAGCGCATCATCCAAGTCCCGTGCGGTGGCCGGGTCGATGCTGCAGACAAACTCCTCGCGAAGGTCACGCCGCCCCATACGCAGCAGTGTTTCCTTGTCTGGCACCGCAAACGTTTCGGGCACGCAGGCGTACGATTCCTCTGAAAAATCAGACATGTTAATTTCACACGCGCTGCACAGCGCAAAGCTATTGGCCTGTACCGAATCCACCTCACCAAGCACTTTTACAATTTTGCCCGTGAGGAACCTCCAGGAGGTCCAAAAGAAGTCTCCGTCTCCGCGGGTCAAGAGGCGCAGGGAAAAAAAGGATGCTCCTAGCGTGGCGTGCAGCGGCACGGGAATGTCTCGCCCAAAGACGGCAATGTTGGGCAACAGCGGATCAAAGCATTTGAATTGATAGTAACGATCACTTCTCACAACCTCGTTGGGCGCCAATGCGCCGTCGCAGAGACGTGCCACCACAAACAATGGGCAGCTGCGCTCGAGAACAGCCACCACCACACCAAAGGGTTTCTTGCCGCCCCAGTCATGTACGGCGGGCGCCGACATTCGTTTCGCCCAACGACACTCAGGGGAAGATTCACCGGGCCGCGTGGTGTCCCGCACCCACCGCGTGATCGAGCGGCCATCATCCATTTTTTTCGGCATGACCTCTTTTGCGCCGCCGCGGCTGTGGCCACCGGCATCCAGCTGCCCGTCATCCTCCACGTCGTCGTCGTCGTTGTCGAGGGCCGGCCAGTTCTCTTCGGAAGACAGCTGCACCGCCACAATGTCGCCGTGGAGCGCCTGCTTCCTGTCCTCCATGCCCTTCAGCACCACGTCACTGGGGAACAGGGGGCTCCCGACGAAGGCGATCCCTGCCGCAAACCAGTTAAATATCCGCAGGCGCCCAATAACCACATCGCCGCTGCGCACCTTCTCCTCCAAGTCGGCGTTGCTGCCAAGGCGGTACTGCATGACGGCACGCGCAGGCTCCGCTCGGCTCGGTGCGTTCAACTGGGCCCCTGCTGCAGGCCTCGGCGCGCCCATTTGAGTGGGAGAGCCACCAGCCGCGGAAACAGCGCCAGCTTGCATCCCACTTCCTGAGCTCCTCGCCAGCAACGCAAAAGAAACCAACGACGGCGCAAAAAAAAAAAAAACAGCAGCAGCAGCAGCATCCATAAAGCAAACACCAAAAAAAGCCACCGTGCAAGACAAATCTTGACGCACACACTGACAATCCTGTCGCCCACGCGGTGCTACTTAAAAATGGGGGGCGGTCAACCAAAGCACGCTCCCGCGCTTCTTCCCCGCCACCACTCCGCATTTCATAGACCACCGTGGCAATCGCCCGCACTCCCTCCCGCCAAACTAGATCAGTAAATCGCAGTGGCAGCGGCAGACGCCACCAGCACGCACGAACTCGCCTCTCAGTCATCCTCCTCAGCATCAGAGGAAGAGGGAGATGAGTCCTGCAGAAAGCTGCTGAGGCTTTTTCCCTTCGCATCACTGAACAACACGACTGCATCCTGCTTCTTCTTCTGTGTTGCCTCAACAACGCTGTGGGTCTGCGGCAGTTCACTCATGCGTTCGCCTCTAAGACCCTTAACGACCAACGCGAGTAGGTGCCGTCTCGTGTGGAGCGGCTTACCGTCAAGAAAGCCACCGACAAGATCCCTATCGTAGCTGCACACACGCAGCTGCTTCCGATGCTGCAGAATCGCCTCCACCACCCTTTCACTCTGCGTCGTGCTGTTGCTGCCGTACACCGCATGGTGAATCGCAAAGGCCGCCGCTGGGCGAATGGTGGAGCTCTCGGCAAGAAGAACGGCACGCGGTGGTGGTTCAAAATCTGCTCCTTCGTTGTGAGAGGCGTTGTGACGGCCACCGAGGCACTTCTCAAAGACGTACGTCATCAGCCGATGCACCAGCGCCTCCGTGGCGGAGACGTCATGACGCACAGTTATTTTGCTGTTGTCGCCACGAGCCCCACCCCCGCCATCGTTTTCCGTTGGCTCTTCGCCCACGCTTGCCTCGCCGTGTGCGTGCCCCTCCGTCCTTGGCTTTTTGCGCGCCTTTTTTGGGGCAGCGTCGCCCCCGCGCCTCTTGGCCCCCAGCAGCCACCGCTCACTCGCCTTTACACCCTCCACCGAGGCGGTAGACGTTGCCAAGAGCCTCTGATTCACATCGCCCGCATCGCCCATGTGGGGGGCCTATTCGAAGCCACGCACGTCCTGTGGAAGTGACTTTTAGGCGCGACAAGGCTGCGGCGAAGAAGAATAATAGAGAGAGAGGGAATAAAAGCAAAAAAAACAAACAAACAAACAACAAGCACAAACAATCAAACAAACAACAACCCACTTCTCACGTTTCCATCAACGGCAAAAGGTTTTATTCACGGCAGAAGAAAATTCAACGTCAAGCATGGTGCTTTGGCGAGCAACGCACACCCTAAGCCCTACGTCGTGCGCTCCTTCTGCGCCATGTTTGCCCTCCTCCTGTGCATTTCCCGCAGATTGCCCTGCAAGAGATCAACCCCACGCCGCACACGGCAGCACAACTCTGGCAGCGCAGAGGCGACACTGTGCCAACTCTCTCCGGCGCCTGCGGGGGAAATGAGCATAAAAGGCGGGAGATGCAGCTTCATGCAGGACTGCAAAAGCTGAAGTGTTTGCCGCAACACCTCCGCCTCGGCCTTGGCTGCAGCCTCTTCGCTCAGCACAAGCCCGACACATGCGTGGCGTTCCTGGGCCAGCTGCTCCGACTCTTCCCGCAGCCGTTCCATGAGTTGGTGCACTGACCGCTCACGAGTGACGCCTTCCAGCTGGATTCGCTGCATCTCTCGCCGCACCGCCGCCTTGACTCGATTTAGACGTTCGAGTTCGTGCAGAGTCACCTCGCGGCGTTGCCGTGTTCTCAGAATGCAGGGAAGCCGACCTCCCACGTCTGACGCGCACGAAGACACGCAGCTCAGGGGCGGTGCATGAAGCGCCCAGGCCAACTCCATGCGCTCAACCCTCGCTGCCTCTTCCACAGCGCAAAGAGCTTCTCGCGTGGCGCGCTCCTCCCCCTCCAGCGCCGCCTGCATCATTCGCCGCGCATCTTCGCTCCTCAGGCGCTGCTCAGCGTCGGCCCTACGCCCATCACCGCCCCCATCCGTGTCCATGACTTCGGCTTCCTGGACCCTCAGCGCCACCGTCGCAAGCCTTTCCTTTTCCTCACTGAGGGCGGCGCAACGCTGACGCAGCTCCTGGCGCCGCTGCCGCGGACGATGCAGCCCTGAATCCCCGTGCGGTCGGCTCGGCACCTCCAAGTCGTTCGTGGTCGCCCGCATCGAGGCCGCATTGCTCGTAGAGCGCGATTGGGACGCCTCCCACCCGGCGAAGAGACAGGCGTGCCCCTTCCTCCGTGAAAGGTCATCCAAAAGCCTCTCCCTCTGCCGTCGCGCGGCGCTAATCTCCGCGGCAAGCGTCTCCCCATGCATCGAAGTGCGCCTCTTTTCCTCATCCCAGACGCTCGCCAGGCGAGCGCGGTGGCGCTCCAAACATTCTCCCTCCATCTTCAGCTCCCACTCCAACTGCCGGCGAAGATCGGCAACCCGCCGGCCCTCCGCGTCGTTAAGCATCTCCACCTGTTGGCGACTGCCTTCTTGCCACTGCCTCCTCGCGCCTTGTGCCGTGGCGCACTCCAGCGCTCCCTCCAGGCCACGCACCTCCTCACGCAGGCCAAGTAGCGTCCGTTCCACCGCCCCATTTCTCGCCTGCTGCTGCTGTAAGGTCGCACGAGCTGCCTCGACGTCGTCACGAACGGTCCGCAACTCCTCCTCTAGCAGTTCCATCTCCGCCAGGGCAGGGCGCTCCGCGGACTGCGCGGCGAGGGAAGTGGCAACCTGAGGGGCGGCTTCAATGGAAGTCACCCACCGCTGCAACTCACTCGTGTCGCGCACGGAGAGAACCACAACGCGATGCGGGGATCGCCACGCGTCACACGGTACGTTGGTGGAAAAAAATGAACGCACATGCGTCGCCTGCAGCCACCACATACACACCGCACAAAGTGCATTCCCCCGCGCAAGGCTCAGCCGCAGCAGCAAGGAGGAAGAGCGGGTTATGCGGCAGAAGGAGGGGCTGCCTGTCACCGCATCTATTAGCCGGCTGTACTCGGCGGCGTCGGCAATGGGCACACCACCGCCGCCGCCACCGACCGCGGCCTGCGGAAACAGTCGCGCTGTAACGTCTATGCC